CCCTTATGGTATTAGCCTCTGGAAATCCATTAGAATATTCTGGCAGTTTCTCAGTAATCAATTAACTGTCAAAGTTCGAAATGGTAGAAAAACAAGTTTTTGGATTGATAAATGGATGGTTACTGTAAGCCTTAAAGATCTCTTTCCTGACATCTTTGTTTTGGCTCAACACCAAGAGAAAACTGTTGCTGAAATGTGGTCACCACACGGATGGAATATGATCTTTAGAAAAAACTTGAATGACTGGGAAATTCCTAGAATGATTGAACTTTTCAAGCTACTGGAGAGTTTCCAAGGAATCCAAACAGGTGAAGACTATTTATGGTGGCATGGGCACAACAAAGGAAGATACAGGGTGAAGGAAGGATATAAACAAACAAGTCTTAGGGAGAATCAAGACTTCAAATGGCCTTGGAAGCAAATCTGGAGAGTCAAAGTGCCACAAAAAGTGGCATGCTTCACCTGGCTGCTAGCCAATGAAGCAGTTCTGACATTGGACAATGTGGCCAAGAGAGGTATATCTCTATGCAACAGATGCTCCTTATGTGGTAAGGATACATTGGACAATGTGGCCAAGAGAGGTATATCTCTATGCAACAGATGCAGGAGACCGTAAAACACCTCTTTCTACACTGCAATTTCACTGACCAACTGTGGCAGATTTTCCTTAATCTCAGAGGTATTTCCTGGAGTATGCCTTGTAAGATTGATGAGACTCTTTTCAGTTGGGAGGAGGCTGGAGTTGGGGCTACAAACAGAGAAAGATGGAGGATGATCCCTGCTTGTATATGGTGGACTATATGGAGAGAGAGAAATGATAGATGTTTTGAAAATAGGGACAACAACCTGCAGGAAGTCGAGCTTAAATTTATTTTGTTGTTCTGTTTTTGGTGTACAAATGTCTACTCCAATGAGACTGAGTCAATCATAGATGTTTTAGGGTCCATCTAGTTCCTGGTTTAGCATTGGAAAGACTATAATCTTTTTCTTCTTTGTTGTAAATATGGTTTTTCAGTACTACCTAAGTACTGACTGAAATACAAATGTTACTAGTGTCAAAATAAATAAATTAAAATCACCTTAAAAAGATAATTGGCACTGTATTACGAATAAATCAACGAACTAAGTCTTAACAACCTCATATAATTGGTCTCTGTTGAATTCAACTAGGAAATACTTCCAGGAATTACTATGACAATCGCTTACTCTTTTATTTTTTTTGATAACCGAGAAATCCGTCTGTGACCCGCCCTTTGGAACAATCACAACCTACTAAACTCGGTGGATAATGGGCCCGCCCCTCTACCCTTCTCCACTTAAATACTGGGCTTCGCTTTGCATGGTGTGGGGCTTGAACCTGCGACCTAAGCCACAAATCCTCCACCTTTTGCCACTTGAGCTAGGCCTTGGGGGCAATCGCTTACTCTTTTATGACGGTACGATTGAGCGTTATTAGCCTCCACAAAAATGGACAAACACCACGGAGTAGCACTGTGAAACAGTAATTACCTGTACGAGTTCAGACTTGAAACCAAGAGGCCGATACCCGTTATGTCGAATCATTCGTTCAGCAAGCTGATTTGCGTAGCCAATGCACAGTGCTTTCCTCAAATTTTTGTACTCCTGTTGGCCGCCTCTCCGTCTATTGCTTGTTTGAACATCTAATGAGCCTAATTTTAAGCAGACAACATAAAGCAACATTTAGAAGCTTTATTTTTCCAGAAATATTATGCGGGCACCCATGCAGTACAACTATCAGAAACTAAACCCTAACTCAAGGGGCACAAAGTTAATTGCATAGTAGACTACAGATACCATATTATGATGTTTAAAATGAAGGGGACAAGTTAAAATACTAAAACTCCCAAACAGGACAATCTGGAAGTCCTTAATTTATCATTGTCTTGTATTTTGAAAACTCTAGCAACAGGAAACCATTACCTTTAGTGATTTTTTGCATTATTTGAGATAACTGTTTCCTGACATCTCTCACAAACACCATCCCGCGGACCTACAATTGACAAGATCTAGAATGAATAGAATCTCCTTATGTCATTCCATTTATGTCAAAATGGCATAAAAAGTAAAAAAATAAAATAAAAATAAAATCAAACAATCAAATAACAAAGGGAAAATTGTATGAAATGGCAAACTATTAATTCAAATTAAATGCTATAGCCATAGTTTATTTTAATTGTAATTCACAGTAAACATCCCATTTTTTTGCCATCTGATTCGGTATACAATTACCAATTTTATACATTTCGATATAAAATGTATAAAATGCGTTTGTATTTGTATAAAAGCGAGAAAAAAGTGTATATACAAATACAAATACATATATTTTCGTCCTATACACTTATAATTATACAAATACAGATCTTATTATACAAATTATAATGTATAAATGAATTTATACAAAACTGAACAATTTGTATAAAATTGAATGTTTGTAGCGAATTATACAAATCAAAAGCTCCATAGCAAACATTAAATTTGCTATGGAGCGCAATTATGCAAAGTATAGCTATAACATACAAATATGATTTTTATGTTTGCTATATGTGAAAGTTGCTCAATAACAAAACCAGTAGTATACTATAAAAATGTGTGATGGTGTGTTGTGGACACATTTGTGGGCAAGACATATGTGCGACAGAGAGCCAAATAACTTGATTTAATCATAACGCTAGTAGTTTTCTTATTATTCTAGAATAGGAAGAATTTAATTATATTGTTAGTAGTTTTCTTATTAGTTTAGAATAGGATTTATGTTTCCTAGTTTCATAAGACTTCCTATTACTGTAAGAAGACTCCTATTTAAAGGAGGATTTGAGGAATAAGAAGTACGCAGATTTTAATCAGAAAACAAGAGATAGGAGTTCTCTCTTCCATTGAACTCTAAGGCTTCAGCTTCCCTTTGATGAGCTGAATTCATATACAAAAATAGGTCGATCTAGGAATTCGAACAAAAGCAAGGGGAAATCAAAGGCAGTTGAATTTGATTTCCCTATTCATCGTCCTGTGACTTGATCCTTCTCTAAGAATCCTAACAATTTGGTACCAGAGCCTAACACAATGGACGATGAGATCAATTCCAAGTTTTAGGAAGAACGTGTGATAATAGAAACACTAATGGACTCTAAACTTGCAACGATGGAACGTCTCGGTGAAAGGATTGTCCAAGCTATTGAAGAACAATTTTCTAGCTTGGGAATTGGCTCTACAAAACTAACAGTCCAGGGGGTAGAGTCCAGTAGTGCTCCGACAACAAGTAGATCAACTAATCCGGCTCCTAGAGGCAATACACTGCATATTCATCCGGCTGATCAGAATCATCAAAGTAGTGGAAATTCCAATTCGACAATACCAAGGTATGCAAGGATGGATTTTCCTACTTATGATGGCACTAACGACCCATTAATTTGGGCACATCGTTGTGAACAATTTTTTGAAAATCAACATATAGCAGATGCAGAAAAGGTTGGAGTCACTGGGTTTCACTTGTTAGGAGAAGCACAATTATGGTATTATCAGCTTAAACGAGCGAAAGGCCCAATGAGTTGGGAAGATTTTCAGAAACGATGTTTCCAGCGATTTGGACCTCCTGAAAGCAGCAACCCGGTGGGTGAACTGGTCACGGTTTGACAAACTAGTACAATTGAAATTTATCAACGTCAGTTTCAAGAAAAGTTGGCTAGGGCTGATGAGCTTATTCCAGAATACTTGCACGTGGGAATATTTATGGCAGGGTTGGATGATTCAATCAAATTGGTTAAACCACCTGACTTATCGACGGCTATGAGTATAGCCAGGGCTTTAGAGCAAAAACAGCAACTGCAAAGAGTCAGTAACACTCGCAAAGCGGCATGGCAGCCGTCTCGGAACAGTCATGGCAGCACAGTGAACTCACCTAAGTCTAATACTGGTTTAGTCGGCTCATCTACCTCGACGAATATCCAAACTAGCAACCAAACCCCTTTTTTCAAGCGATTAACTCGTGTAGAAATGGCGGAGAGAAGAGCTAAGGGATTATGCTATAATTGTGACGAACAATATTCAGCCACTCACCAGTGTAAACGACTTTTCTGGTTGGAATTGGATGATTCAGTTGATGACGTAATTCCGGAAGTGCCGGATGACTGCTCGGAAATTTCTTTATATGCAATTATAGGTCAAAGGCATGCACAAACTATGCAATTGCCTGCACTCATTAACAGACATCACATGCTTAGTTTTATTGATTCTGGAAGTACCCACAATTTTATAAGTTCTACAGCTACTAGTCGATTACTCCTTGATGTTTTTTCCTTGCACAACATCAGAATCTCTATTGCTAATGGAGAGAAAGTTCAATGCTTGGGGGTCTGCACAGGGGTAACAATTTCTATTGGTGAACATAGCTTTATTGTAGACTTTTATGTTATTCCCTTCGGTGGATTTGATATTGTTTTGGGAGTGAAGTGGTTACAGTCTTTGGGTCCTATACTTTGGGATTTTGCGGCACTTACTATGAGTTTTTCGGTGGAAGGGAAATTAATTTTGCTTCAGGGACAACAAGGGTATTGTGGAAAGGTTTTGCATCTTCTAGGAAAGGCAATTACTGATGAGCAGCGACTGGAATACCTTTTGACCGAGTTCGATGATCTGTTCCAGGAACCTAAGAGTTTACCACCATTGAGACAATGTGACCACCGCATTAGTTTGCTGCCCAGAACAGCCCCTGTAGTTGTTCGTCCTTATCGATACCCTCATCGGTAAAAGGATGAGATTGAGAAGCAATGTAATCAAATGTTGCAACAAGGATTGATACGACCAAGCAAATCCCCTTTTTCTTCACCTGTGTTATTGGTATCTAAGAGAGATGGGTCTTGGCGTCTTTGTATTGATTACCGTGAACTGAATGCCAAAACAGTAAAGGACAAGTTCCCAATTCCAGTAGTGGACGAGTTACTAGATGAGTTACATGGGGCCAAGTACTTTACTAAACTAGATTTGCAGTCTGGATACCATCAAGTCTGCATGTCTCCTGTAGATGTGGAAAAGACAGCATTTCGAACTCATCACGGGCACTTTGAGTTCCTTGTCATGCCGTTTGGACTGACTAATTCCCCATCTACTTTCCAAGCTTTGATGAATGAGGTCTTTCATGAGTTCTTACGCCACTTTGTGTTGGTTTTCTTTGATGATATCTTAATTTATAGCAGTTGTTGGGAGGATGTAGACTGTTTTAAGCAGGCTTATCCATTGTTCGAGCTTGAGGACAAGCTCTTTCAGCATGAGGGGGGTAATGTTGTGGACGCATTTGTGGGCAAGACATATGTGCGACAGAGAGCCAAATAACTTGATTTAATTATAACGCTAGTAGTTTTCTTATTATTCTAGAATAGGAAGAATTTAATTATATTGTTAGTAGTTTTCTTATTAGTTTAGAATATGATTTATGTTTCCTAGTTTCATAAGACTTCCTATTACTGTAAGAAGACTCCTATTTAAAGGAGGATTTGAGGAATAAGAAGTACGCAGATTTTAATCAGAAAACAAGAGATAGGAGTTCTCTCTTCCATTGAACTCTAAGGTTTCAGCTTCCCTTTGATGAGCTGAATTCATATACAAAAATAGGTCGATCTAGGAATTCGAACAAAAGCAAGGGGAAATCAAAGGCAGTTGAATTTGATTTCCTTGTTCATCGTCCTGTGACTCGATCCTTCTCTAAGAATCCTAACATGGTGCTTCATGGAAATACAGTAAAATACCTGTAAGTTGTTTTCTTTACACCAGTCTATGTTGTAGTCGGTCTGGTACCATTGCTCATAAATTTGGAGTAGCTGGATGTGATCACCCAAGCCAAAACCATCAGGAAGGTTCGAAGGAGTGTGCCTCCTCTTCTTCTCAGAGCTCTTACTGCAAGTTCAACGAATTAGGTAGTCATTTTTGAAGTTTTGCCTGCTTAAGTACTGAAGGACAAAAGAATGCAAAAGAAGAACATAAGATTGCAACGCTTCAAGATGGAAAAACAACAAGAACAAGACCATAACATCTTGCCTTCTTTGTCAAGTCAATGTAAGGCTTTGACCTGTGGAATATTTTTTATCTGTATGGGAAATTGATAACAAACCACTCTGGTCACCTTATAATGAGAAACGACATAATCCTAATTAAGAGTCACATATTTCTTATATTATGACTTTGTCTTTCTTTTGATACTAGATACTGTAGCAATATAATCTTTCTGACAGTGTATTAGCAGGAGAAGATGCTGATATAGTTGACAATTTATTTATCTTTGAAGAATCAAGCTGCTCGGTGCTTCATGGAAATACAGTAAAATACCTGTAAGTTGTTTTCTTTACACCAGTCTATGTTGTAGTCGGTCTGGTACCATTGCTCATAAATTTGGAGTAGCTGGATGTGATCACCCAAGCCAAAACCATCAGGAAGGTTCGAAGGAGTGTGCCTCCTCTTCTTCTCAGAGCTCTTACTGCAAGTTCAACGAATTAGGTAGTCATTTTTGAAGTTTTGCCTGCTTAAGTACTGAAGGACAAAAGAATGCAAAAGAAGAACATAAGATTGCAACGCTTCAAGATGGAAAAACAACAAGAACAAGACCATAACATCTTGCCTTCTTTGTCAAGTCAATGTAAGGCTTTGACCTGTGGAATATTTTTTATCTGTATGGGAAATTGATAACAAACCACTCTGGTCACCTTATAATGAGAAACGACATAATCCTAATTAAGAGTCACATATTTCTTATATTATGACTTTGTCTTTCTTTTGATACTAGATACTGTAGCAATATAATCTTTCTGACAGTGTATTAGCAGGAGAAGATGCTGATATAGTTGACAATTTATTTATCTTTGAAGAATCAAGCTGCTCTTCTCACCGTCAGCTTAATCCTTCCCTTCATTTTCAGTTCACAAGCTTCATGTTCAAAAATCACAGAGGTTTTGCACCATAAAAATCTGGAACAAAGCAACCATTCTAGATCTCAGGCTAATTGCAGCTCTAATTCATTATACTTCTTTATCAAGAAACTTCACACATGATACTTGTATTTGACACAAAGATATGCAATAATTTTCATTGAAACCACCACCAGATGTTCCGATGCTTTAATGCTGTGGAGAAACTCAATTTCTTTGCTACAGAAGAATATACTCCCTCCATTACAAAATAAGTATTATACTTCTTTATCAAGAAACTTCACACATGATACTTGTATTTGACACACAGATATGCAATCATTCTTCATAGAAACCACCACAGATGTTCCGATGCTTTAATGCTGCGGAGAAACTCCATTTCTTTGCTACCGAAGAATATAGTCCCTCCATTTCAAAATAAGTGGTGTTTTTAGCTTGGGCACACCCCTTCGGAAAACTACTCATTCCTAGAAAGTAAAATGCATTTTACTAAATTCCCCATGATAAATATTTTGTAAAAGATATAGCTCTTTAGTAGTTTCTTGGTTAAGTAAAATTAGAAAACTACTCATTCCTAGAAAGTAAACTGTATTTCACTAACTTACCCTTAATAAATATTTTGAAAAAGATATAGCTCTTTAGTAGTTCTTGGTTAAGTAAGATTATCTATATTTAAATAAGGGTAAAATTAGAAGAACATCATTAATGTCTTCTTGATAATGTGAAACACCACTAAATTTTTAACAAAATAGTAAAACACCACTTATTTTGAAATGGAGGGATTATTAGATTTTTCTTGGTATAAATATCAAGTTGACTTGATGTTAAGCAAATAGATCTATAAGGAGGAGGAATGCTCTCATGCACACTCCCGAAAAACACTCTCTCTCCTACTTCTTAGGAGAGAGAGATCCCTCTTTTTTTACCATGTTCCGGTGGCAGCTTGCCAGAATCAGCCAGCTTTCTTTTTCTCCTTGAGCTATTTCCTACTGATTTAGCTGTTGTCCCACCTTGACTTCTCTTCTAAACCAGTTCAGTGGTAAATCACTATTCTACCAATGGACAAAAATAGGATTTATTTCAATGCTGGTTTTAAATCTTTTGACATTACGAGATGGAACTCTGAAAACTCAACCTGGTACGAATGGGTAGAAAGGAGTAGCAGACTGATGAAGAGAACCTCGATAAGCTGCAAGATCGTAGAGTAGATTTGCTTCACACTCAAAGAAGCTTCTAAGGACCAGAAGAAGGTAGTAAGGAGATGGAGAATTACAGATAAAATGCTGAACAGTTTAGTACAAGAAAACAGAATGAGTATGGAAGATTTGTAAGCATTCTATCAATAAATAGAGGAGGAAGGTCAGTCTTGATTATACCGGAAACTGACTTAAATGCAGGTTAGAGCGACATTGCATTTAAGATAGAGAACTTCATTAATGCCCCCAAAAGGCAAGAGATTGCACTCCCTCCAAGATTGACAGAAATCAACTACCCGTATAGGGCCTATGCTAAAGCCATACAGGAAAGTAAATGGCCTGGTAAGACCATTCGTGAAGCAGAGGTGAGAAGCAAGAAGGGTAGAATAGAAATAGATGAAATTTCGGACCATGAAGGAGAAGGAATAGCTGAAATTCAGACCATGAAGGAGAAGGACTATTGGCTAGATGCTTGGTTGGTAGTGTAGAACAGGATTAGAAAGGCTAAAACCAGAGTCTACTCTGGCTAGATGAATGACATGAAGAAGGCAACTTAGAAAGGCAATTCCCAGATATCTACTCCTTAGTACTTCACCAACAGTTTACCGTAGCAGAATTATGGACAATAGAGGGATGGAGATTCAACTTCAGAAGGCAACTCAACGATTGATAAATACCAAGAATGGCAGATTTCATCAACAAGATTGAGCAATTCAGTGGATTGGGAGAAGATGAAGATGAACTATGGTGGCAGGGAGATGAGAAAGGCACATACAAAGTGAGCAAAGCGTACAGGAAAATGAACAACCACAACCAGCAGCCAAGCAGTTGGCCATGGAAGAACATTTGGAAAACTAAAATACCATATAAAGTGGCATGCTTTGTGTGGCTTCTGGCAAAGGAGGCAGTGCTTACCCAAGAGAACCTAAAGTAAATGGGGATAATTTTAAGCCCCAGGTGCTTCTTGTGTGGGGGGGAAGAGAACGTGAATCATCTATTCTTACATTGTAGAATCACAGGACAACTATGGAGATTGTTTTTGAACCTCAGAGGAATAGCAGGGAGCATGCCTGGGAAGATTACAGAGGCCTTAACAAGCTGGGAACAGGCTGGGTTGTTGGCCAAGAATAGAGGCAGGTGGAGGATAGTCCCAGAAAGCATTTGATGGACATTAGGGAAGGAGAGGAATTCTAGGTGTTTTGAGAGCTTAGACAACAGTATGCAACAGATTAAGCTCAATTGCATCTTGCTACTGTGTTTTGGTGTAATCAGTTACTTTCTAATGATTCTGTCTCTATCATTGATGTTTTAGACTCATTATAGACAGAGGAAGTACAATCATAGAATCATAGATGTAGGTAGTACATTGTAAATATGGGGTACTACAACTCCTGTAAGATTCAGATTCTAGATATATATATATATATATATATATATTCAAAGTTACCAGTTTCAAAAAAAATATCAAGTCGACTTGCACGGAAAACAATGAGATTTATAGACATCATTCTACCACGAATAAGTACATGCATGAATTCTGGACAATTCTATACCTTGGGGGAGGAAGCAATGTGGTCTCAGCAGACAGCATGGAAACAACAGTCAATGCTTGGGACAAGCAATCCAACTCATTTGCCTCTAATAAGGTCCTCGAAAGAGAAGGTTCCAGTGGAAGCTCTGGACAAAATTGAAAAGTTAGATCTCCTTTAGTTCTGTTACTGAATGAATCACTTTATAATCTCCAAAATTATGGATTGCAGGCGAACTGTAGTGTACTTTATGAATTCCCTCCATAGTTCTCAAGGGGAGGAAGCCAAATTTAAAGGAAAATTCATGTCTCATCCTTTCCAAGCAAGCTCTGACTTCTTTTTTTCGTCTGAGGTGGGAGGGTCTGGATTACAGGCGACCTCTAATCTAAAATAGAATATAAATCAATAGAGATGAACTATTACCAGCCATCTTTCGTCCAAGACTTGTGATTGAACCATTTTCATCAAGTGCATCAACTAAATATAATTGCTTTAAGGCATCCTCTAAAGATTCGACTGCAACAAAAGTAACAAAATAATGAATAATTGAACAGGTGTCTATTTTACAAAGGTAGAGGAGATTTGGAGAATAAGTCCAATTTGTGAGCTATGGAACAAGGAGTAGGGGGGGTTGCTTTATAGACGATTTAAATGAAGGTTAACATAGTTTCATGGAATGTGAGGGGCCTCAATGATCCAAGTAAGAGGCTGCAAATCAAAAACTTGATGAATAAATGGAGGGCAGATGTATATTGTTTCCAGGAGTCAAAAATCAAGGGAGATATAAGCAGGATTGTAAAAGATTTATGGGCAAATAGAAAAGTGAAATATGCACAACTAGAGGCACGAGGGACAAGAGGTGGCATCATTATCTTGTGGGATAGTAATATATGGGAGGGGGAAGTATGTGAAGTAGGGGCTTACAGCATCACCTGTAAGTTCACAGGGAAGACACAAGACTTAGGATGGCATTTTTCTGGTGTTTATGCTCCAAATAATAGAGAAGAAAAAAAAGAAGTATGGGGAGAGTTGGGGGCAGTGAGGGGTCTATTTAATGGACCTTGGGTGGTGGCTGGGGATTTTAATGTAGTGAGGTTCCCATCTGAGAAGAAAAACTGCAACAAATTCAATAGGGAGATGGAAGAATTTTCTGAATTTATGGAGGACATGGAATTACAAGATTTACCACTTGTAGGTGGCAGATTCACAT